CTCTTCCTTTGTATTTCCATACTTGAAAACTCAACCTCCTTTGCCATTTCTGTTGTCTAAATGTTGTTCTGTTGTACATAGGGTTTTACTTTAGATAAAAAATTAATCGCAGAGATGAGCGGTTTGAATCCACCAGATGCTCTGCTGGAAAAGGAGGGACAATCTCCTCCTGTACTAGTCAGAACCGATTTGATGGTACACGCACGCAAAAATTAAAAAAAAAAAAAAATAAAAAAATTTTAAATTAAAAAACAAAAATTAATAGAATATTACTATTACCAATACACATAAATCTAAGAATGAAGTAGTGATATTAATGTAAAGATATTACAACATTGATTCGTTTTCATTTCATCAATATTCACAATAATTGAATCTGCTGTCAAGCTCAAACCTTCGCAAGAGAAATTAGAGCTGAAGATACATCATGGAACATGGTTAGAAGTGGAATGAGATTTTCTACTGATTCAAGTAACATTTGTTTTACACTAGGAAGAAAATGCATTGTTCATGTTAAATTCTAGTAGTGAAAATTTCTGAATAATAAGAGCTAGTTAATATTGGCATTATCATTTTCTCAGTTCTAAAGTTTATCAGATCCTAAGAAATTAGTTCATTAATTAGCTACAATGATAAATGAAGAATTTCTACTACTTCATAATTCAGCTAATCATCTTTTCTTAATGTTTATTTTCTGATTTTTCAAAACTTTAAACCCACCAAAATCTGAGTCAATTCTGACACAGAGCAACCCTCTTCACAGGAGTGGAATCCCTCATCCTTTGCACACATAAAAGCTAGTTGGTTCTGGAAGCACCCCAACTTAAGTCACTGAGCCAACTGAGCTCCTTTCAAACAAAGCAGAACCGTGAAAAAGATAACTACAAGTCCTATAAATAATAAGAAACATACAAAATATCTTTTTTACACCTTGTACAAATATACAATTGTGTATATTCTATTTTAAAATATATTACACAGAAATGGTTTGTGAAGTAGAAAAATAAAATTAAGCTCCATGTTTTCTGCCACATAGATCTTAAAAATGCCATGTTTATTACTTATGCCTAACTCCTGAATCCTGAGACATGAATCAAAACATATGCAAGATGGACCACAATTAATTTTAACTGACTCCTCACTGACCTCTGATATGTGTCAGGTGCTTTAATAATACTTTTAGACACATTATGTGATTTTATCCTCACAGGAACCCTAAAACTGTGTGGCTTTTGTTTTGTTTTGCAACTTTAAGAGTTGGTCCTAAGACACTGAAGTTTTACAGATTACAGCCAAGCCAAGATTACTGCCAAGCCCTCATAGACAAAGGCTAGAACAGCCAGGATATAAATGTCTGTCAGGTTAATTAACTGAACATTTTGGCATTATGTTAATCTAATTACTCAGCTAGAGTTACAGATTATCTTTATCCCTAGGTAACACTGTGTTACTTTTAGTAACAAGTGAACGTATCTACCATTACTACAGAAAATTCAGTAATTTAGACACAAAAAGTATTATTACCATTAATAATTAAGAAAACATTTTCTTGGTTTGTGGTAATTAATTGACACCTAGCTTCTATGTTAAAGAGTATAAAGTTAATATGGTGATAGATTATAATATTCACTGCCGTGCTTCTAGTATAAACGGATGGGCAATGAATGTTTGATAAATGAGCATATTCTATTTTATTCTAATATCGCACTTTGGTAACCAGTAAGCATAAGTTAATTCTACAACTCAGATACAAAAAGAGTAATATACACTTACCATTATTAGGTATAAGCTCCATATCCCAAGGACTCATCTTTTCTGTATCTCCATTGTCCCAGCTTAATGATTAAAATAAAAATGATTTTTTATAAAAAATCTAAATACTCTTAAAATTTTAAAACATTTATTACAGAAATAATTTCTTGAGTATTTACAAAACATGTCTTTATTAATAGATGGAAGAAATTAAAAATAAGGCAATCTGAACTAAAATGTAACAAATGTTTTCTTACCAAACATTGTAACACTGAAATAAACTGTCAGGATATTCAGGTTGAAGAGGTTCCTGGCTTTCAATTGTTCCAAACCACCAAGCATCATCTATAACTGATCTGAAACGGTCACCTAAAGAAGAACAAATGCCATCTCATTAAAAATATACTGCTACTAGTTATAAAACTTTCTTCATGGTATTTTTCCCATCATGAACTGTATCTTTCAAAGTGCCTGTATAATGTTAGAAAACACATACAACACGATCTACACATTGGAAAAACGCATCAAAATGGAGGGAAAAATATTTAATAGAAACACCTTAAGTATTATCAGTTTCTAGCTCCAACCACTAGTTATACTGGTATGAAGAAATTAGGTTTTGAGTAAGCTTTAAAAAAAAAGCCCAACAATCTAGCATTCTAAATCTGACATTAGTACTAGCTTCAAGCTTCTCATTAAAATAAAAATTTTAGGTAATTTCTGTTCAAAAATATTTAGGTTTTTTTTACTTCCTATTTTCTATAGGTAATTTTCTGTAGCCAACAATCAATCAGACTTGCCTTCCTTTATCATATTGCAACTAAACTTTAACATTCATTTTTACTTTCCTGTAGGGGAAAAAAGTAAAAATAAAAGCTACAAGTAGTACTCAACGTAGAATGTATTTGAATTTGGTTTTGTACATGTGCTTCTCTTATACTTGGCACTAGGAACTAACTACACACAATCAGAGACTTTTCCCCAAGTACTGAAGAGTAAAATGTCAGTCTGGAGACTAAAGTGTGCCTGATTCAGGCCATGGTCTTTGCAATTACTTGC